ATTGTATCCTGTATGTGTTGCATTAGTCAATTTGACATAAACTAGGACCATGCATGTTGGCTAACTAGTTTATTGTTTTGGCTCGGAGTACTCGGTAAGCATTTATGCTTTAGCATATCTCATGCGTGTGAATGCTATCATGACAGCATTGACATGCCTCTGTTTTTTGTTGGTTTTGGTACACCATGCTTGCTTTGCATACATGCCTTGTAATGCCATTTTGTTGCCTTAACATGCCTTAGGTTGTAAACCATCGTTCAAGCATGTTTTAGGTCTAGTTTTGTGAAGCTTTTGTGCTTATTTTTCCATGCTAGAGGTCTCTCCATAGTTGTTTGGGTCAACTTTGGCATGCTTTGTATAGCCCCTTTGCATTTTTGGTTTGTTGGCCTTAAGTGTGTGAATGTATAGCATGCATCCTTGCCTTAATTTAGTGGGTTGGGACCATTTGCCATGTTATTTCAGTCCCTTTAACATGCTTGTATGCTTGCATTGGATGCTTCTTTGAAGCTTTGAAAGCTTGTCTTGCATGCTCCATGTTTTGGTCATTGTGCATGCTTTTGAATTTGAGCCACTTAGATGCCATCTAGGTGTCCCTTGGGTGTTGTTTAGGTTCGCATTAGACCTATTTTAAGTCCTCTTAGCCTTGTGAGGCTTGGTTGACTTAGTCTTGGTTTAAGCCTCTTGGCTTGTCTTGGGTTTTTGGCTTTATTTGCATGCCTTGTTTATCTTGTTTAATTGGCTTAGCACCTTTTGTAACATGATTTTCAATGCTTACCTTGCATGCCATTAGTCCATGTTATGCCTCTTTCAAGTGTGCTTGAGAGTCGCCCTTTTGTGCTTGAGTATTGGTCCTTGTATACATGCATGCTTGCATGCCATTGATCCTTCATTTTGGGCACTTTGGCCATTGTTTTTGGGCTTAGTGAGGGTTGCCTAAACCATGTTTAGGTCCACCCTTTGTTTGCTTGCATGCTTACCTCGCATAATTGCATGAATGCATTGCATTGCCATGTCGCATCCTTAGCTCACATGCTTAGGATTGTATCCCTTTTGCATGCATGCTTGGCTTCTTGAAGTGCTTGTGATAGAGGTTGAGTCCCATTGGTTTGTTCATGTGCATTGCATTCCATATAAAAAATGCACACTTGATTCCTCGGGCCATCACGCATGGAAATGCGCGATTGATGGTCCGAGAACCAAGGAGCATGTCCCTTTGACTCACTCACATGATAAGGAACATGATTGGTGCATACATTGCTTGAATTGCATTGCCATGCTATGCCTTGCCCTCTGCTGTTGTCAATTGCAGGTTCTGCAGACATTCTTTGCCGACCGGCAGTATACAT